GATCACCTCCACGCTGTGAGGGGCACGGCCGGGTGTCACTGGGGCAGGGCAGCACACTCTGCTGAGCCAGTGACGGGCACACACCCCCCCATCCCAGACCCTCAGTGCCCGGGGCACCCTGGCACACAGGGTGCCCTTCCCCAGGGCTGGCCCGCACCCACTCCTACCAACAGCCACTGCCAAGCCGGGGCCTGGCACCAAGGTGGCAGCCCAGTGGGCTCCCCAGGAACCTCACATACCTACACACCCGGAATGCCCTCCCCAGCCCCCAGGGCAGACAGCAATGAGCTAGTGGGAGGGGTGGGGGTGACACGTTCTTACCTCGGGGCTAAGGGTGACAGAACCCATGCTGGGGAACGAAAAGAGAGAGAAATTAAAAGAGAGAGAGAAGGGGACAGTACAGGAGCCTGGGAGCTGTAGGAGGGCAGAGCAAAATAACCAGCGTGCAGCCAGGGCAGAGAGAGACGAGCAGCCAGACACACACAGCCGGGAGGACCCTGAGGGACCCGTGGGGGTCTCAGGTCTTGGGGCGTCCCTGAAGGCAGACATGACCTGTCAGCAAGAGAGCAGCCACACCCACCCCACACACACAGCTCTGCCTGTGGGTCTCCATCCCTGTGTTCCCCCCCCAGAGGGCACCCCTAATTCCTTACACACCCTCAGCCCAGCCCCTCAGCCCCTGCCCTACCTCACATAGAGCGAGATGGGCACCACAGTGTTGAGGATGATGATGTACGACCAGAAGGAGAGGAAGCCAGAGAAGAAGGCACTGTGCACCCCCTCGTCCCAGGGTAAGTAGATCTGGAAGCAGAAGCCCACCTCGTGCTCCCAGATGGCATTACCAATGGCCAGGATCACTCCCATGCACACCAGGAACCCAAAAATCTGGAGATAGGACAGGACAGGACATCAGAGCCCTGACTGGGCCAGAGCCAGGGCTCCCAAAATCTGCCTTCTGCATACCCAGAGCACCAGTGTGTTCATCAGCCGGTCGATGCTCGTCCGCTTAAACTTGGTCCGGCCGCTGTTCTGCATCAGCTTCGTGTCGGGCCCTGGGGAGCAGGAAGGCATCAGGGGGGTCTCTCCCTCCCCTCTGTGCAGTGCAGCTGCAGCTGCTGCCTCAGCCTACCTGCGAAGATGACGAGGCCAAAGCACCACTCGGTGTTGCGCAGGACACAGCCCCGCAGCAGCATGTTCTGGTTGCTCAGGGGGTACTTGTTCTCCTTCCAGTACAGCGTCCCGCCAAACTTGTCAAGCTTGTTGTTGGGGGGTTCACAGACCACCTCGCCTGGGTGCAGGGGATGGCTCAGCTGGGCCTTGCCTTCTTCACATGGCCAGCTGCATCCCAGTGCCCCAGCACCATCCCTGGCTCCCCAGAGATCCACTTGGAGCCGCAGGACAAGGCTGTGTGGCTGATCCGAGTCTCTCCAGGGTGGTGGAGGAAGGGGCTGCCCCGTGGCAGAGGGCTGGTCACGGGCACTCACCGTCAAAGCGAGCCAGCTTGCTGGTGTCCCCCAGCTCCACGGTGACAGGTATGGCCTGGCGCACCTTCATGTTGGTCTCTCTGCCGGCAAGGAAGCACCACATTAGGGACAGCCTGACAGGGAGGGCCTTGGCAGGTGCTGCCTGGCAGCTCCCACCCTGCCTACAGCCCAGTCTCTCCCTCCCAGCTCCTTCCCCAGCCCCACACGGTGAGCAGGAGCACCCACCCGTCCAGCTCTGCAGTCTCTATGTAGCACAACCCATGGGGTTCGCTGCTGGAGAGGAGGAGGAGGTCGGCCTGCTGGGAGAGACACGTGAAGGGTTGTGCCGACACTGGGGCTCCACGACACCTTCCCCAGGGAAGCTCCTGGCCCCTGGATGTCAGCAGGGTCCCTGAAGCCTCTGCAAAGGCTGTCCCCAGCCCCACGCATCCTTTGCACCCAGGCCTGGCCACCATTGCCCCAAGCACTCGGAGTTCAAACAAAGCTCCGACTCTCCAACCTAAACGCAGCTTCCAGGATGAGAAGTTGCTGATGTCCCCACCCCGGGAGATGATGGAGAAGGACAAAGGCAGAGTGGGGGCAGCACCATCCCATTATGCAATCCCTTCATGCCACCCAGCTGGGACCATCCTCGTCTCAGGTTCGCACTCACCGCCACAAACTGGTTATTCTCCAGCTTGATGATGTCTCCAACACGTACATTCATCCACGGCTCCTGCCGGAGGCTGCGCAGGGACAGTGGACTGGAATCAGGCAGGAGGCCTGCCCTGCCCACTGCCCTGTACTGCATCCTGCAGGGCCCCAGCCCCCTCCCCACTGCCCCATCCCTGTGACACTCACACTCCACCGATCAGCACCTGAGACTGCCGGTTGTTCACCTGGTTGTCACTTTTATGGCGGAACTGGAAGCGGGGGGAAGAGATAGCAGTGTCAGCTCCTTGGGGACAGGCTCCTGCTTCCCCTCTGCCCTTGCAAATGCCACGGCCCTGGGCACTGCACCCCCACACCAGAGTCCCAGCTCCCTGCCCAGCGCACAGAGGGGCACAGGGGAAACCACTCACATAGTCATCAGTGGCGTCTTTGACAGCTGTGATGGTTAAGACAAGAACCAAAGGCACGATGGTGGTGAACCAGGAGAGTGAAGAGATCTGCGGGATCAGCTGGGGACAGGGAGCAGGAATTACAGGAGAACTGGCCAGCCCCAGGCCCATGCTGCCCCTGCTCAAGGGTGCCAAACCTCCACTATTCCAAGGCGTGGGAGTGCCTGGAGCCCTCCTGGATGCCCAGGCGGGGAAGGAGAGTGTGGGGAGTTCTGCCTGCCCCCCAGCACTCACCTGCAGGATGAGGAGGAAGAGGAAATAGGTGTTGGCTACTTCCTGGAACTGCTCAAAGAGGTTGACAGGCAGGAAGGTGACAATGTTGTACTTTGAGGTCTTGATGCAGTTGCTCTGGGGATGGAGGGGGTAAGAAGGTGGTACACAGGCTGCCAAGGCCCCATAGCCCCCAGCCTTGCTCTGGAGGGCAGGGCTGTTGCTCACTGTGCTCTTGGGGGGCTCTGGGCAGCAGCCTGGACTCCCAGCTCCTGTCCCTACACTACCTCTGGCCTCTTCCTTGAGAAGCTGATTCCTCTGCCTTGGTCACCAGCCAGGGCCCAGCCTCCTCTAGTGGTGCCCTGCAAGGGTGACCCCAACCCAGACCCCCTGCTCCCCTCTCTGCAACCAGCCTTGGAACAGCCAGGGATAACCTCCAGCGTCAGGGGGAGGCCAAGGCGAGTGCTGTCCCTCCCCCAGCACCTTTGGAAGCTGATCCATAAGGGATGAGGGGCTGAACCCCTCACACAGAGCACACTGTGTCCCCTAGCCCCACAGCTCCCTTGCCATTCATGTCATCAGCACAATTTTCTCAGGGACAAACATCTATTTTTGTTGTCGTTAACACCTCCCTTCACTGACCCACGGGTGACTCAGGCCCCAGCCCCCCCAAAGCTGCCCAAACACCCCTGGGAGGGGGTTCAGCTCCCCTCTCACTCACCGCGTACTGGAACTTCTCGTTGTACTCCCGAGCGTTGGCTCGCACTCGCCGCTCCTCCTCTGCAACACAGAGCCCCATCAGCCCTGTGCACCCTGACACCCCCTAAACCTCGACCAGCCCTGCACTCTGACACCTCCTGCACCCCCCCCCCCCCCCCCCCCCCCCCCCCCCCCCCCCCCCCCCCCCCCCCCCCCCCCCCCCCCCCCCCCCCCCCCCCCCCCCCGCACCCTGACACCCTTGCACCCCAACCACCCCTGCACCCTGAGAGCCTGCCAAGCCAGTCCCAGAGACCCAGAACCAGGGAAGCTCCCCAGATGTGGCCCTTGTGCTCCCCCATGCCAGGACCTGTGCCCTGGCACCTGCAGAATCCCAGTGCAGCTTATCTGTACTCCCCACCCCCAAAACCTGCACCTCCAGGTCCCCCAAGCCTGCACTTCCAGACCCCTGCTTATTTGCATCCCCAGAGCCCCAGATTCTGCATCCCCCATGTCTTGCTTGTCTGCTCCTCCAGCTCGGCACCACCAGCGTGCCAGACCCTTCCAGCCCTGCACGCCCAGGCCGCATCTCTGCACCTCCAGCCCTGCTCACCTGCAACCCCACAGCCTCGGCCGGGAAGACCCAGATTCTGCACCCCCAGAGCGCATCTCTGCTCCCCTAGACACCCAGACCTGCACAGCTGCACCTCTGGATTCACAGCCCTGCACCCTCAGCCCTCCAGAATCTGCATCCCCAGACCTGCCCAGTCCTGCTCGGCCGCAGCCCCGGCCCTCATCCCTGCACCCCGGGCCCCCATTCCTGTTCCCCCGCCCTGCCCATCCCGCACCCACCCGGCCCGCCGCGGGCTCGGGCCCGCGGCCACTTCTCGGGCATCTCCCGGGGTACCGTCATGGCACGGCCCCGGCCCGGCCCGGCCCGGCCCGGCCCGCGCTGCCGCTGCCGGCCCGGCCCGCCCCGCCGCGTTACCGGGGCAACGGCCGCAGCGGGGCCTACCGGGGCCCGCCCGGGGCCCGCCGCCGCCTCCCCGGGCCCACCGCGACCCCGGCCCCGCTCACCCGGGGCCCGGCGGGCCGCGCACCGCTCCATGTCCCGCGGCCCCGCAGCCCATGGGGAGCGGGCGGGCGGCCGGGCCGGGCCGGGGCCGGTGCCGCTGCCGCCGCCTCAGCTCCCCATGGCCGCGGCGGCGCCGGGCGGCGGCGGAAGTGAGGGGGGTGGGCGCGGGGGAGCGGCCGAGATGGCCCCGCAGTGGCCCGGAGGGTCCCGGATCACAACCCTCGGGTACCCGGAGCACAACCCCCAGGTGCCCGGAGCACAAACCCCAGGTGCCCCGGCCGGCGGAGCCGCTCCGGAGGGGCCCGGGGAGCCGGGCGGTTCCTGGAGGGCCAGAGGCAGCCACAGGGGGTATTAGGACGAAGCCCCGGGTCCCACTGGGACAGACACCCCCCCCTCACTAGCAGCTTGTGTCAGCCAGGTCCCTCTGCAGCCAGGCCTGGCTGGCCTGTCCCCCCCGGGGGGCTGGGGGCCACTGCATTCCCCATGCCCCTGCACACCCACGTCTAGAGACGAGACGCCCCGTGACCTCAGGACTCGTTTAATAGTGTGACGGGAGTGGCAGTGGGGACCGTGCTGCTGGTGTGGGGTGGCGGGGGGTTCCCGGCAGGCACTGTCCCCCCAGTGTCCTCCTTGGATGACACCTCACTGTCGAGTTCAATGTTTTTGTTCACCAGGACGATGGAGCCCTGCTCTTCCAGGGCATCGCCGTCCTCCTCTGGGTAGTGGAAAGCCACGCAGAGCTGGTACAGGTATGTGCCCATGGCGGCTCCCAGCAGCGGTGCCACCAGGGGCACCCACCACCACCCGTTGCCCCTGCTGGGGATGGGGCAGGGTGAGCAGAGGGTCACCCCTGCCACCCTCACCTCACCCCCTTCCCTCTACCTACCTGAAGACCTCCGGACCCCAACCTGCCACGTAGGTAAAGAGCCGGGGCCCGATGTCCCGCGCGGGGTTCAGGGGGCAGCCACAGTTGGCGCACATGGAGGATTCGATGGAGAGCACCAGCATGGCCACGACCACAGGTTCCAGGCCCTTGGGGACACCTTTGTTGCGGTTGTCCATGACGCCCATGACACACACTATCAGCACCCCGGTGCCAATCACCTGCAGGGGTGACATGGCAGCTCAGCACCCTGAGGACTGGCATCGTCAGAGAGGGCTGGGGGAGCTGACAGTGGCACCCGCCTGGTCCACAAAGCCGTTGGCGACAGACACGTAGTCAGCTGGGTAGGTGGCGAAGATGGAGGCGGTTTCCCGGGGGCCGGACACGGTCAGGGTGCCGTTGCTGTAGTGCCAGATGGCATCTGTGGGGCAGAGGCAGAGCCTGTCCGTGAGCCTGGCCAGCCTGGCACCGCCATGGGGTTCCCCAGCCCGGTGCTGCCCTTCCGTACCATAGTAGAGGATGTAGACAACTCCAGAAGCTAGGAAAGATGCCAAGGTCTCCACGAGATAGAAGATGGGAAACTTCCACCAGGGGAACTGCTCCGTCAGGAACATGACGAGGGAGAACGCCGGGTTCATGTGGGCCCCTGCAACCGAGCAGGGAGAGGGGCTGGGAGGAAAGAGTCCTGGGGGCCTCAGGACTGGGGGATGGCAGGAGCTGGTACCCCCTCCTCAGCCTCACCAGAGATTCCTCCGGCTACGTAGATGCCCGCCATGACAGCCAGGGCACCCGCCAAGTAGGCGGTGATGAAGTTCCCCTTCGTCTCTTCGCTGGTGACCCTCTGTGCGACGCCGCTCAGGGTGATTATCTGGAGAAGAGGGGTGTGCCCACCTCAGCCCCACCAGCCCTGTACTGAGACACCCCCTCCACTGACACCACGGTGCGGTGAGGCGAGGGCCGTGCCGGTGCCACCTCCATGGTTTTGCTCCTTGGACACTGGACAGGCACTGGCAGGGAGGTGGTTGCTGCTCTCACTTGTGGTTTTGACAGGAAAGCAGTCAAATTATTAGCAATTAAGTGAACTGCTTCCCTGGGGAGGTGGTGGGGAAGAGGTGCCACGGCACAGCCACGGGGACACCGTTTGCCATCATGGGATGCAGCCAAGAGCAGCTCCAGAGCCCCAAACTCTGCCTGCTCCGAGGCAGGAGGAATCGTGGCATGTGCTGCCACACCGTGATTGCAGCGGAGCCGCAGCACAGGGCGGGCCATGCCACAGGAACGGGATCCAGGTGGAAGGACTGGCAGTGCTGAGCTGCACATTCCAGAGTGGCGCAGCCCCAAACACCCCCAGCCCCAGCAAAGGGCGGGCGATGGAGCCCTGGCATCCCTGGCACCTTTCCAACACCCCACCATCAGTCCCATCCCACCCACACGACCCCCCCATCTTCCCCAGCCCACCCGTTTGCACCCCAGAGCCCAGCCCAGCCCTGCTCACAATGAGGACAAAGGTGGAGAGCAGCTCGGCCAGGCATTCCCGCATCAGCTGGTTCCGGATGCGGAGCAGGCGCCGGGCCCTTGTCAAGCAGGAAGCAGAGCCCATGGTGCCAGCTGGGAAGGGGCAGCGGTGGCAGCAGTGGCAGCAGTGACAGTGGTTACAGTGGTGGCAGCGGTGGCAGCGGTGGCAGCAGTGACAGTGGTGTCTTAGTCCCAGCGGATTTTATGAGCCCTGGGGCCAGGTGGGTGATTATGTGTAAACTTTAAACCAATCAGGGCCACACCAAGGGAGACACCTGGCAGGGATCAGAGTCCCCTGTAGGGCTAGGGAACTGTGGGACACCTCGTGATGATGCTGCACCCCAGTAGGGCCAGGTCAGATCCTCCACCAGCTGTGGGGAGCCCAGACCTCACTCAGGTGAGTGGGCACGGGTGTTTCCCAGCCAGGAGCTCCCCTTCCCCTGCCACATCTTTGCCCAAGCTGCAGCTGCAGTCAGTGCTCGTGAAGAGGCCCTGGCTCAGGCCCTCAGGAGTGGCTGTGGGGGGCATTAACTCAGCACCAGGCAGCAAAATGGGAAAGGGAGGTGAGCAGCACAGGCACAGGTGTCCACCAAGCACCTGCATCCCTCAGGCAGCCCCCCAAGAGCCATCCTGGCATCCAGGATGGATCTGCTTCCGAACCCAGCCTGAAGGAGCACAGCAGGTCACTGCTTAGCATAAATAGACTTTATTGCGCTGTACACACACACACACACTCCGCCCCCCCCGGGGGTTCCCGTGGCTCCACAGCACTCCTGAAGGAAGGCAGCCCGCAGCCCAGGTGCCAGCTCCCAGCAGGATCTGACCCACCTACAACAAAACCAGGTGGTGGGAAGACGCTGCTGCCCCGTGCCCGCTCTGACAGCCCCGGCGTCCGTCCCCCCTGCACGTGTCACACATACCGGGTGCTCAGCCAGGGCCCGGCACGGCTACCAGCTGGAGAACCAGTGCCGGAGGAAGCTGCCGAGCACGGACGACGGGTCGCTCGGATTGGGAGGGCGGAGCTCGTCCTGCCGCGGCCACGAGCCCGCAAACTGCGCCAGCTCCCCTGGAGAGGCGGGGAGAGCCCCCTCAGCGGGGCCCCTCCCGCCCCCCGCGCCCTCCCCGGCCCCCCACTCACGGTCGTCCATGTTGAGCACCTCCTCGCGGTAGTCCTTGCCCTGCCCGTCCTCCTTGGTGGTGGTGATGAAGGCCTGGTCCCCCCTCCGGCGCGTCACCGTGGTCTCCCGGCGGCCCTGGCTGTCCTGCACGGTGCGGCGCTCCTCCACCGCCTGCACGGGGTGCCAGACCCTCAGGACCACCTCCCGACCCCCCCCCCCGGGCATCCCCGGCCCCGCCGCCCCCGCGGGAACACTCACCCCGTCAGGCAGAGTCACTTTGGTGACAGACACGCTCTGGAAGTAGGAGCGGGACTTGGGCTCGTCGGGTCTCAGGATGGTCCCCAGCCCCGCCGAGGAGACCTGTGAGTCCAGGTCTGGGGGGAGATGTGACACGGTGGGGACACGGCCCGGCGGCAGCGCAGAGACCCCCGGGCCCCGCTCCCAGCACGCACCTTGGTCTGCCCTGAGGCCGGGAGGAGCCGGGCCAGCATCGTCCAGCTGCAAGGCAAAGCCACGCGCCGGTGACACGGGAGGCAAACCCCGACACGGGGGCGACACCGCGACAGGCGCCGAGCGGCACCAGCAGGGTGCGACGGCTGGGGCGGACCCCAGACCCCTCACCCACCCCCAGGAAGGGTCTCCAGGGCCGGGCCGGGTCTCCGGCGCCCTCGGGGCCCGCCGGGGCCGCGCTGGCGGGGGGGCTGTCCGGGTGTTTCAACATCGAGTCCCGCAGCGGCCGCTCCTCGCCGAGGCTGGGCAGGGCGGGCGCTGCGGAGCAGGGGGAGGTCGGTCAGGCCGAGGAGGCTCCGAGCGGCCCCCAAAGCCCCGCCGAGCCGCGGCTCCTCCCCATGCCCACCGAAGGGCTGCGGGGGCCCTGCCCACGCTCCCCCGAGCGCCCCCAGGAGCTCGCTCATGTCCCGGAACAGCTCCTCGAAGGCGCCGCGGGACGCGCCGGGGCTGAACCCGAAGCCGAAGTCCTGCGGGGGCTGCGCCAGGCCCAGGCCGTCATCATCCTCCTCCTCTTCCTCGTCCCACGCCGCGCCGCCGAACAGCGGGTCCCGGGGCCTGCGGGAGCGCGGCACTTAGACAGCGGGCCGGGCCGGGGGCCGTGCGGGCAGGGCCGGCCGGGCCGCGGTACCTGCGCGGCCCCGGGAACCCGAAGAAGCCGCGGAAGGCGTCGAAGAAGCTCATCCCGCTACGGGCCCTGCCGGTGCCGCCGCCGCCGCAAAGCGCCGCGGCCGCAAAGCGCCGCCGGCTGTCGTGAGCGCCGCGGGGCTCGCCCCGTGTCCCCCCGGCCGGGCCCGGGGACAGCGGGGGCTCCGTCCGGGACCCCCGGCCCTGCACCCCCGGAGCCCGCACCGCCAGGTCCGCACAGCCCCTGCTCCTGCACGCCCCGGGCCCCGCTGAGCTCCGCCGGCACAGCCCGCAGCCCTCCCGCTGCCCCCACTGGGACCCGCAGCACGGGGGGCTCCAGCTTTGCCCACTCCCCCCGCCAGCCCTCGGCCCCTTCACCTTGCAGCTCAGCAGCCATTGCCCTCCTGCCACCCTCATGGTCCCACTGCCCGCCCCAGCGCCCGAGACACCCCTCCGTGACGGCCGAGCCTGTGCCGAACTCCTCCTGGGGACACGGGGGGCGAGGGTGGAGCCCCCCAAGCTCCGAGATGAGCAGTGGAAGGGAAGAAGTGGAAGGTGGGAATCTCGGGGGAAAGGACTTTGACAATGTCCCTGTGCTAGGATCCTGCTGCTGGCCAGAGCTGCAGCCAGGAAGAGGAAAAAATCCACAAAAGCAAGGGACAAAAAGAAAAAACCAAAAACCAACCAACCAAAACAAAACAGCGAGACGGTGGGGAGAGGTGGGGGAAGCATTGCTACCCCCCCCGCCCATCTAGGGCCTCCCACCCCCTGCACCAAAAATAGGGAACCAGGCTGAAAGGTGGAAAAAATACACACATCACTTTGTGATCTTTATTCTCTTCAGTAAATCCCCACTTGGGGCTGCAGCTGAAGGGACCAGGTGGAACTGAAAAATACAAGATCTGGACTGCATAGAAAAAAGAAACAAAAAAAAAAACGAAACAAAAAAAAATCCCCCCCAAAAACCCAACCCAAAAGCAGAAGATACTTACAGCGTGCAAGGGGAGCAGGACCTGCACTCAGGCCCGTGAGGAGGGAGGGGGGCAGATGGAGAATGTAAAATAATGGGGGGGCCCTCTGTCAGACAGCAGTGGAGGGGGGAGGAAATGAGAGAACTAGAGGACGGCATGGGGTTTTTGTTTTTATATACAAGACACATTTATCCATTAAATTTAGAACACGGTACAAAAAAAACACTTCAACTAATTAATCTTACAATGCTGCTCATATCAATTACTGGTCTTATTCCTAATAATAAGGGGGTTTGCTGTAGGCGACTCGCAGCTTCCACTCCTTTGGATCTGAGAGGTTCTGGGGCAGCAGGAGGGGAGAGGGGACAGAAAGGAGTAAAAACCAAAAAAGGCCCCTACGGCAAACGGTTCAGATCTGAATGCAGAGAGAAAAAAAAAAAGGAAAAAAAAAAAAAAAAGAAAAAATACAAATTCTATATTACATACAACAGGAAAGTGGCTGAAGACAGACAACGCAGAGGCGCCTGCGGCCTGCCCTGCGGGACCCTGCCGGGGGTGGGGGCCTGGGCACTCCCCACCACAGGGCTCTCTCCTCCCTGGGATCCTTCAGCATCATCGGGGTAGCCGGGATTCTCTTCCAGAAGCAAAGTGGTGGCGGGGGGGCCCGGCCTCAGTTGGCGCCCCAGCTGTAGCTGTTGTAGGCAGATTTGTTGGCCTGGGATTTCTGGGGGATGGAGCTGCCTTGGCTGCGCTGCCCAGAGCCGCTCTGCAGGAAGGGGCAGAAGGAGAAGCGGGTGGTGAGTGTGGGGGGAACCGGCCCCAGCCCACTCTGCAGGACAATGCCTCAGCCCTGCCAGGCACTGCGGCCACGGCTCCTCCTCGGCGTCTGCTGCTCCACCTCTGGCACTGGGGCTGTCCTGCCTGTGCCCCTGCAGCCCCAGCACCCTCCCCCTGCTCCGTGCCTTCCTCCAGGGCACAGCACATGGGGCCAGGGGCAGCAGGGAGCGGGAAGGGTCAGCGCAGGGACGTGTGTGTCTGCACGCGGGAGTGTGTGTGTGTGCACATACCGACTGAGGGCCTCTCTCCTCACCTTGTGTGGCCGTGGGGGAGAAGGAAGAGGCTACTTGAGCCTGGGCAGCCTTGAAGGGCAGGGGGAGACCCCAGGGCAAGTGCAATGCATTATCAGAGAGTTCATTACCTGATCTTCCTGCTGGCGTTGGCAGCACAGTATCATCTGCAAATATGGAAGCTGTTGCAGTACCAGGATATGTAAAATAAAGGGACAAACTATGACAGTAAAAATCCATGGTTAGACCTGAAAGCTCCAGCAGGGTCGTGG